TTCTTACATTTTGACTACTCAGTAAATTGCGGATGTCGATTTCATTGTTTAATCTTATGATATTTTTTCATGAAATTGTTTAATCTTGTGAAATTGTTTCATATAATACTTTTTTTGATGAAGTTGTTTCATATATGGTTGTGAAATTGTTTCATATAATACTTAATGAAACTGTTTCATGTATTTCTCTAACATTAATGAAACTGTTTCATGTATTTCTCTAAAATTAAAATWATGAAGATGATAATATCTATGATTAACACCCTCCACAATAAAAATGATTAATCAACCTCTCATAATTACAAAAAAAATGAACAAAATGAAAAATTATGATTGGTTGAATGTGGTTTGCACGGTTTGTACAAATTGAGTGGTTTGCATTTGATCGCTCCCCTATATATATATATATATATATGTGTGTGTGTGTTAAAAATACGTTATAAACATAAAACTTAGAACAAAATATATTTTATTTTTTTGCTTTTCTTATTTTTAAATAAATAATGTCGACTTTTATAAGAGCAAGTTTTCATAAGAATTCATTGTATATTTTTTTGTTAAGTTATTTTTAACTCATCAAATTAATAATCTACAAAAAAAAAAAAACTCTACAATGGTAATTTTTATAAGAACCTATTTTGTGGGACCATATATAATATAAGTTAAATAAATATATACATATTAATTCATTCAGAGGTTGCATCTTAATGAAACTATTAACAAGTAAACAAACAATCTCTAAATCATTAAAAGACTTTTTATTTTTGTCACATCAACTTTTCATTATCACATCAGCTTTCCATTAACATTTTTAACAACAAAATATTTCCATAAATCATCTCTAATGAAAAACCATATTCAAAAGTTTTTTCATCAATTACATCGATAATCTTTTATCATCTATCTAAAATGTCTTATAAAAATCCCTAATTTAATTTATCATTTTCAAAACTCAAAGATAAAGAGGTTCTTATAAGAACCTTTTACAATATTGATTCTTCTGAACAACTATTTTTTTGTTTATAAAAAAGTAGAAAATTTTGAATAATATAGCATCATTCGAATTAGGGAAATTGATTCAAATAGTCATTTCATCCATTCAAGCCGGTCTCTTAGTCATTCCTCTATTGGGTTTATCCAAATGTCACTACTTTCACAATATTCACATCCGCAATCCGCAATATTTACCCAAATGTTCGCTATGTCCGTAATATCCACATACACAATATTGCAGATCTGGCTAAAAGACGAAAAAAAATGTTCAAATTCCACCAGGTTAGCAAGTGGCAACGTAACACTTGCGGATATGATTAATTAATTATTATGAATACTCAATAAATAATATTAATGTATAAATGTATAATTAATATTAATGACGGTTATAATTGAAAAAAAAAGTGACAATAACCTATCAAAACGCTACTCTAAATACAGTTTTAATAAGTTAACTTATATATATATATATCTAAACATGTATCCAAAAAATAAAATAACTTATCAAGTAATTTATTTGAATCAAACAATTTCCCTTCAAAATCAAGATGTAGAGGCAATCATTGTTCAAGATAATCATTTGACATCAAATGTTTGAGAAACGATGCATTTCTTATGAGGTTATTTTCTTTAAGTTTTATTTATACTATATTATAAAAATTTATTAACTGTTTTTATAATTTAAGTTCATAATTTATTATTTAAAAAACTTTAATAAATTTCTGAACAATGATTAATTTTCTAAAAAAATAAACCATAATAAAGTCTTTGTTAAACCCATACAAATAATTCTTTAACCAAGAAACAAACGATGTGTAATTTCAATCCAAAAAAGGTGATGTAAAATTTATTATTTATTAACCAAACATGAAAACTAAAAAAAACATGATTAATTAATAAAGCTAAAACTCAAAAATGATTAGTTTAGTTGACCATGTTATACTTAATCCCTAAATATAATATAATTATGTAATCATATTTATTTGTTGGATAAGTGTAACTTATGTTGTAAAATCTTAATTTAGTTGAGATATTATAATTTGTATGAAATTTTAACTCGGTCTTCTAACGATAACAATCTTCTGGTAATTAATTGTCGTTCATATTAAATAAGCTGTTAGAGCCGAACCAGAAAAGACTCATGTGTCAAGTATGGAAGAGGTCAATATAATTCTTTTGATCATAGGCTTCGATTTTAGGTTATCCAAGTAACCAACATGATGAGATTAATTAGCGAACATATATTAAATGTGGAGTTACATCAACTTTATAAATGTAAGTATCCTTTTAATCTAATTGATTCTACGGTAAAATGCAGAGTTGTTCCTAGTTAAAGTTCTAGGCCCATATATATATATATATATATATATAGAGAGAGAGAGAGAGAGAGAGAGAGAATGAAACCTTTTTTTATAGAGAGAGAGAGAGAGAAAGAGAGATAATCAAATGAAAATGAAATCTATTTAAAAGAACATGAAAACGGGTAAATCAGGTGCAAAATCACATGTGATTTTACATTATTGGTTGAAAAGATGTCTAGACGACTTGTGGCTGCGCCTTCAGGTCATCAGGCAAAGTCGTCTGAATCCACATGTGATTTTGTATGTGATGTTAGTGTAAAATCACATATCATGTTTTCATGTTCTTTTAAATATGTACCATTATCGTTTGATCCTCTCTCTCTAGATATATATATATATATATATATATATCTTGCTTTGCCTCTAACCATAAATTAGTTACCCTCATTCTTTTAACCCACAAAAAAACTAAATGTTACTGTTTAAAAATGTTTTAAAGTAAAAGAAACCTAAATCAGTTCTATCGTTCCCAAAATCTACATCATTCAAACTCTTTTCCCCTAACGACATTGCTCTCCTTCACAACCTCATCGTTGTATGCTTTCCATCACCATCGTTGCTATCTACCATTGATCTCCCTCTTTTTAATATTTTTTGTCTTTCATTTCTCAAATTTTCAACAACTTAATGAAGTACGTATAGACAAATAAAAAAGAAGGGAAATCATTAGGATGGGTCAAAGGCTGCGGATGGGCAGTGATTGGGATAGCAAGGGGGGGGGGGATCAATGGTGTTAGGTATGAGGGGTTTGAAACACGTAGGGTTTGAGAGTGATAAAAATGATTTAGGTCTTTTTTTTACTTTTAAACTTTCCTAGTCGATTATGGATAGTTTTTTTGGTTAAAAAGGTGTGAATAATCAATTTTTAAAAGTTTGATGATTTATTTATTTAAACAGAAAGTTCAACGAACTTAATCAATTAAAATGAAAAAGTTCAATGATTCATTAATTAAATAAAAAGTTTAGAGACATAATCATTTAAAATTGCGAAGTTCGTTGAGCTTTCTGGACTTTTCCTTGCTACCGGAGACGTACCACTTTTTAAATTTTCATATTTGAACTTATTAAACGAATTGATAAATATAGTCAAATACAAGATAAATGTTGAACTCTATTAAATACTAAATTAATAAGACTCCAATCGATTTTGGATTTTCCCTTTTTGGTCGAATCATATTGATATTTCACTTTCAATTTACAATAAATATTTATATCTTGTTGTATTGTATGAGTATACAACCGGTTACAATTTAAATAAAAATGTATCTTTATGTAATTCTTAAAACGATATTGACTTTCACTCAGACAAGTTTTTTTTTCCTGATATAAAATGTTGTGTTTATTCTTGATTGATTAACATGTTAATGAGATTTTAGTTTCTTATTAGCACACTTGAACCATCGTAACCTATCCTACTCAAACAAAAATACGATATATACTATACAACTGCTTTTCATGTGTAGCTCAGTTGGTAAAGAGATAAGACGACTTTATACAAATATAAGACATGTCGCGATCCCGGGTCTCCCGTTAGTCTCAGTCGCTAATTGAGTCAAAGAATGCCCCCATCACATTGGTGCCCTTGAAGAAGTATTCCGTATAGGGCCGATTGAGATTGTCGGTAATCAACTTTTTGGCCTAATACTGTAAAACTGGTATAAACATGAATGCAAATTGGATCAAAGTATAATATACTTTCACTTAATCTTCATTTTAGAAACAAGACATATTTAGGTGTATATAGTTTAAAAAACGTTTGTTTATCAATGCATGATTTGATAATGTTTATTTTGTAAAACATATTTTAAAAAAACAATACCAAGAGAATATTCTTTGTATTTATTTGTGCAATTATACCACCGTAAAATTAATAGTCTTTAAGTCAATATTTAAAGAATTCTTAAACGTATTTAGTTCAGTTACTTTTAGAGTTTTGATTAAACCGAATAAGGCAATATATATATTTTTATATTTCACAGTTACAAATCGGAATAATATTTGTTTTGTAACTCATAAATTACCCGCAATTTTATAAACCATAATTTCGGAGTCGATAAATTATACGGCCTCTGGTTAAACCCTCTTAATGATTTTGTATTATTGACCTCTCTTAACCATTCAGCACCCTAATTCCGTTGTAAACAATTACCGAACAAATATATTTCATTTCACATTATATCATAAGAGTCTCTTAATCATTTTTCACCAAACCATTATTTCATATTAACACCAATCTTATTATAATAGAACTTATATCCAACATCCTGAATACTCAAATCCCAATTTTATGAGATAAAACAAACATGCAAATACAATAGTTAAGAAAAAACCGATGGAATGGAATAACAATACATCGGCTGAAATGGCAAATTATGTATAAAAGTAATAGCATTTCTTGACATGGAAGTGACCAATCATATATCTCACCCACAGAAATGGTGATTTATCCAAAGTAGTTTTGAGGTTGAGGTTCAAAGAGTGAGACCAGTTCTTGAAATGGGTTATATGGTTGGTAGCACAAAGGGTAGTTTGGTCATGTGGAATTCTCTGTCATGGCTGACACCACATTTATATTCTAATCTCATCATAAACATCTAGAATCATAACATCATTCTTCATTTCTAGACATTCAACAAGAGTCACAGCTTCTCTCTCTCTCTCTCTCTCTCTCTCTCTCTCTCTCTCTCTCAAATCAAATCTTCGAAACCTCAATTTGAACAACAGAAAGGTATGTTTACTTGGAAGATTTCTATCAAGTTTCAATCTCTTCCTTTTTCCCCCAATTAAGTTGTTCAAATGGCAGCTTGATTTCTCTTTTCTTTAATGGTTGATGTATCAAAGTTTGGTTTCTTTTTGTTTATTTGTGATGATTCATGGATTTGGGTAGATGGGTCTTATCTTGAATTATGTGGATTCACTCCTGTTTGTTTCTGTTTCAAATCTTATCTTTGTTTAGGGTTCTTATTGATTGAAAATCAAAAAGGGGTTTCTTTTCTGAATTAAGCTTAATTTCACTATTAGGGTTCTTAATCCAATCAAACAGAGTGTTCCCCCTTTTAGATTACTGTTCTTTATCCAAATCTTCACAAAACCCTTAATTTAATGGTCTTTAAATCAGTGTTCTTATCATCTTTTATGAGATTCAGATCAACAACTGCAGTACGAATTTATGGGTCTGTTTTGATGATTGCTAACTTGTGTTGAATCTTTTTTCAGATCGTTTCGTTTCGTTTCAGCCAATCTGATTGAATCGGGTATCATGCTTGTGATTCAGTAATCGAAAATTCTTGTTGAGGAACCCTTTTTCATTAGATGCAAACATCCCAGAAAAGTCGAAGCTCAGGAGCAGCCATCCACAGGTTGTATCACCAACCAGACCAAGTTGAACCTTTCTGCTTAACTGGATCATATTATCAAATCTTGAACAACAATGGCTACCCCGATGCCGCCACCAGCCGCCGCCAAGATACCTCCGTTCAGTCGTTCCCTGACCAATTCTTTACGTTGGAATCATCTCCGGCGGTAGACTTCTCTGCCTACAACTCACCGTTTGCCGCTAGCGTGTCGTCAAGTAGCCGAAGCCCGTTTTCGCCACAAGGGTCTTCTCAATCATGCGTATCGAACTTACACAACTCTTCACCAGAGAACACTTATGGATCACCGATTAGCAATGGATTCGAGCTGGCTTTGAGAGAAATGAAGATGGAGCTATTGGGACCCGGGTCGGATTTCGAAGATGGGTCGATTACGAGCTCGTTTGATAACGTGAATAGGTACCATAAGATGCTTCAAATGGGAATTTCGAATTTGGATTTGAAGCAAATGCTCATTGCTTGTGCTCATGCAATGGATGATGGTGCTAAAGAAGATGTACAAGGACTCATGGAAGTCTTGCAATCCAAGGTATCGGTTGATGGTGAGCCGATCCAACGGTTGGGAGCATACATGTTAGAGGGCTTGCGGGCTCGGCAGTTATCATCCGGAAGCGTAATCTACAAAAAGTTGCGGTGTTACGAGCCAAGTGCGAAAGAGCTCATGTCGTACATGTCGATCCTTTACGAAATCTGCCCGTACTACAAGTTTGCGTACACGTCAGCAAACGTCGTCATCAAAGAAGCAATGCAAAATGAGCGCCAAATCCACGTTATCGACTTCCTAATTGCACAGGGTAGCCAATGGATCCAGCTCATCGAAGATCTCGCCAAGCGGCCTGGTGGTCCCCCAAGGCTTCGCGTCACGGGAGTCGACGATTTTGACTCGTCGTACGCCCGTGGCGGTGGGCTCTCCCTTGTCGGCGAACGGCTCACCAAGTTCGCCCAATCTCAAGGGGTCCCGTTCGAGTTCCATGCTGCCGCTCTCTCCGGAAGCGACGTTGAATGGGGGAACCTGAAGGTCGAGCCTGGTGAAGCGCTCGCCGTGAACTTCCCATACATGTTGCACCACATGCCCGACGAAAGCGTGAGCACGACCAACCACCGTGACCGGCTAATCCGCTTGGTCAAACGGTTGTCCCCAAAAGTCGTAACGCTTCTCGAGCAAGAATCGAACACAAATACCTCCTCGTTCTCCAAGCGCTTCGAGGAGGCGCTCGAGTATTACACGGCAATGTTCGAGTCGATCGATGCAAAGCTGCCGAGGAACATGGATTTGAGGCGGGACGACAGGCGGAGGATCAGTGCTGAAGAGAACTGTGTGGCAAGGGATATGGTTAACATAGTGGCTTGTGAAGATACGGATCGGGTGGAACGGCATGAGCCATTGGACAAGTGGCGGTTTAGGCTAGAATCGGCTGGGTTCACGTCTTGTCCAGTGAGTCATTCGGTGGTGAAGGCGGTTCAAGAGGTTTTGAGCGAGTTTAGCGAGTGTTATCGACTCGGGCAGAGGGAGGGTGCGCTTGTTCTCGGTTGGAAGAACCGGCCGATGGTAACGTGTTCGGCTTGGAGGTAATTAGGGATGATAACGGATGGGGTTGTAGGATTAATGTTGTATAACATGTATTATTACTGCTTTTGGACCAAAAATACTCACATGTGCCATTGCTCTTTTTCTATACACTTGTGTTTGTGTTTTTCTGTTTGTGGTTTATGCCTTTTTTTTTGGCTATGTTTTAGAAACTAGCTGATAAATTAGATAATAATGTAAAATAATGTAAAATAATGTCGGAATATATGAAGTGTATGATTAAAAAGAAGTGGAAAAAAGAACGGTTGAAGCTTTTTCAAAACGTTTTCTAAAAGTAAGTTGACTTACTGTTACCGGGGCTGTTTGGTTGCCTCTTAATGGTGACATTAAGAGGACACCTCTTAATCGCTAAGAGGCTAGAGTTGTTTGGCAAAAAAAAAAGGACCTCTTAATGGTGACAAAAGCCTCTTAACCATTTAGGGGCTAGGGCTCCCCTCAACAATTCAGAGGGATCTGGTGACATTTTTGCCCTCTGCTGTGTCGCCTCCTTCCAATCGATCTCGTCTCGTCTCGTCTCCTCTCCTCCTTCCAATCGATCGATCCATTTTTGCCCGCTGTTGTGTCGCCTCCGTCCTTCCACCATCTCCGTCCCCGTCTCCATCGTCTTCGTCTCCATCGTCGCCGTCTCCATCGTCTTCATCGTCTCCGCCTCCATCGTCTTCGTCTCCACAGTCGCCGTCTCCACAGTCGCCGTCTCCACAGTCGCCGTTCATTTTCTGGTCGAAACCACCGATCGAAACCACAGTCGCCGATCGAAACCACTGTCGCCGTTCATTTTCTGTATGAAATCATCGCCGATCGAAACCACAGTCACCGATTGAAACCACAGTCACCGATTGAAACCACAGTCACCGATCGAAGCCCTAATTTCTTGTATGAAATCTCATGTTGAATCAAGGCTAAAACATTAAAGAAGCACTGTCGCCGATCGAAACTACCGTCGCCGTTCATTTTCTGTATGAAATCATCGCCGATCATTCTGACGGATTGAAACTACCGTCGCCGTTCATTTTGGATGCTAACAGAACCTTGGTTTGGATTAAATCATATAGAGGGGTAAAATAGTAATTTGTTGTCATTCAGAGAAAATTTACCAAACAACCATATTTCATTCAGTACTTAACCATTCTGACCGTCTTGACCATTCTGACCACTTAACCATTCTGCACCAAACCATTCAGCAACTGCCAAACAGGCCCCCTTACTGTTACCATATATGACCTTTGTTGATCACCGAAGTTAAAGCCCCTAGTTCTGTAACCGGATAATGCCCGATTGTCGTTCGTATGAAATAAATCCCTTGATTCTGGGGCTTCAAGTCCACACATTCCTTCAAACCAAATATAGAATTGAAATAAAATTAAATACTAAATCTCACCGAATTCCACAAACCAAATAGGCTCTTAGGGTTTATCTTAATTTTGTGTCGTATGTTTGAAGAAGACGAGTTCAATCAGCCAAGAGTTGGTATGTGCGTATTTAACATAAACCAAGAGCCCAAGGTGTCCTTGACCCATTTGCAACCAACACCTCCACCATCACCAACCTTGAGGGTTAGTCGATATAACTTTGGGTTTTTTTTGAATTTGCTATCACTGATCATCTATTCAAATTCGTTAGGATTTTGAAGACTAAATGCTTGTTTATCTGTTATATTTAGACCCTATGAGTGCATATAGACTACTTTGGACACTCGGTGTTAAACAAACGTTAACGCCACTAAGGGGGTGTTTACTTTTGACTTAATCAGCTTAATGGTTGTTTTGGCTTATTCGCACAGCCATATATGGATGTTTACTTGCGAATTAATGATAAATATATTGGCTTATTCGCACAGTAAGGAAGGGGTGTGTTGTCCCCATTAAGCCAAAATATTGACAATTATGCCCCTCATCCCATGCCTCCCCTTTCAACCCCATCCCCTCTTTCATTTCATAACCCTAGACGAGGCCTCCCCTTTCAATCCCACCCCCTCTTTCCTTTCATAACCCTAGACGAGAGAGAGAGCAACGAATGGAGAAGAAAACCTTCAGCGGGGAGACAGAGGCCTCCCCTCTTTCATCTACCCCTTTCCCTAATTTACCATGGATTGAAGAAAACCTACTACTCCACCAGCCGATTGCTTCTCCTACAGCGGACTACCTACCCTACCGCTTCTCCTCCAGCGGACTACCGTCAGGGAAGGTTTTCCTGTTCGACGGGAGGGACTCTCATCGTCTTCTCCGACGATGTAAGGTTTGGGACTGGTTCGAGTCTCACCGTCTTCCCCAGARATTTCATATTCTGGTTGGAGCCCATCATCTTCTCCAACAGATTTTGGGAGCCATTGTCTTCCCGGAGATTTCATGTCTGGTTGGAGCAAATCGTCTTCTCCAACAGCTTTTACCACTTTACTATTTTGATCCAACATATTTTGAGAAATCATCATCTGGGTTCCATAAGACAGGCCCCCATTGAGCATCTTTTTTGATCGAATCGGTTTTGGATTTTTGGTTTGATGAACAATAGATTTTTTGTTTGAGTTTGAGGGTAGATTGGTCATTATTGTCATTAAGACGATTGATTCAGGTAAAAAAGTAAACACTAATAAATTTTTATCTAGAAAGACGAATTTATCTAGACAGACAAATTTATCCATACAGAACTTAATGGAAAGTTTAGTAAACAGCCCCTAAAAATATTACAATCTGTAATCATTCGATATTTTTTATCTTGATAATTCGAGCATACATAAAATCTATATTTACAAAAAAGAGATATTAATTTCATAACAATATCTATAATAAATTATAGAGTAAATTATGTTTTTAGTCCTTGTGGTTTGTTGAGAATTTCTATTTTCATCCTTATAGTTTTCATCTCTATAGTTTATAATTTATTATTTTTTTTTTGTTTTTATAATTTAAAATTTATTGTTTTTTTGGTTTCTATGGTTTATAATTCATTTCTATTTTAGCTTTCATACTTAAAAGTAGTGTTTTAATCTTAGAAACGAAAATATAAATAAATAGCAAACTATAGAGATGAAAACCGAAATTTTAAAACAACAAGGACTAAATCCAAAAAATTTAGCAAACCATAAGGATGAAATCGTAATTTACTCTAAATTATAATATTCATACCCTTGACTTTGACTTCTTTTTGTTGAAAACTTAAAAGGGGAAAAGGAAAATATATATATTGGAGTTGAAAATTGGAGTTATTCCTGCTTGCTTGAGTCATCGACTCCAAGTGGTTGACGTTTTGCCTCATTGAAGTCGATTATTATCGTTGACAATACATACGTCAACAACTTTCAATTTAACCTAATTTGTCTGATTTTGTTGTGTTTTGATTGACATGACAGTTCGGGAAGGATTGTACGGACGCACGTCTAGGACTCAAAAATATCAGAGGCCCAAATTTTCCCCTTAAACTATATAAGTAGTCTAAATTTTTTAATAAATTAAAGAAACCAAACATATAATAAGAGATAAAAAGAATTTAGTAGATAATAAGGATCAAAAAATACATCAACTAATTACATTGGCTATTGTTATTTCTATATGATTGACTGTTTTCGTGCTTCAACAATTCAATGCTAAGGCCATGCGCTTGCTATTTGTATATATTTTTGTTGGATATTTTTGTCTATTTATGTTTTTATTGACTATTGCTATTTGATTATGTTGTTCTAATTGTTTTTGTTGATTATGGTTATCTATTTTTGCTTCTAAAAAAAACACTTTACCAATGTAGGATGATGAAACTCAACCGTATTTCAAGATTTGATTAATGCTGAAATCTCATCATTCCACCTTATTTCCCTTGGTTGTTCCTTAGTTGGCTAAATCATTCTTGGTTTCTTTTTTAATACTAGAAGTGTGCTTGTATAATACAGCGAGATACATTTTGATTTAGTTATTTCATTTTATTCTTTATCTCAGTTGATGTTATAATATGGTCTTATGTGATTTTGAAAAAACGATGATGTTTTTATTTTTGAATAAAATATAAATTTGAAGATATCATAAAAATTTGACAAAAATATATCGATATTAGTATCAAATTAACTACTTAAAATTCCTATTTTTTGTATAATTTTTTAATTTAAT